TAAGATGCCAGGATGAAAGCACGGACGACTCGGCCGTGGCTAACGACAAAGGCCGGGGCTGAAGCTGGAGATCAGCTCCACGGGCGTTCGCGCTCCAGCAGAGACACCTGTGAAAATCGCAGGATTTTCACCACTGCAAAGAACCAGGGAAGTTGATCGCGTATTGCACAGTATTTCCTTTGTGCAGTGTATCCAAGATCAGGCAAAACTTGGCTGTGGGTGAAATTTCAAAGAGCGTTTCAGTGGCCTTGAGATGAATCTACAGTCACAAGGATTGTGCACTTTCTGCAAAGTACGACTTATGCTAATTTTCATGGCACTGCTTGCTTAAAAGACGCTAAGACTGCCAAAATATTTGAAAAGGACACAACTGGAAGAAGAGGCGTTATAGGCATGAAATAGAACAAGAATCTTTTTTATTCTATACAAAGAATAACTGAATTTTTACACCTAAATTTTGATGTGCAATATGTAAATAGCATAACTGTTGGTACTGAATTTTATCTGAATTGGGAAATTTAACTGAACCGAATTTATCTCGGAAAATCACTTAAAAAAATCCATTCTTCATCTATGATTTTAACTTGGGAAGACTTTTATGAAAGGTGTCTATTTTTAAGACAATGCAGCTCTCCGTGTTGAGGAACAGGTGGCTCTGTCTCCTTGCATATTAATTTGCAATTATAAACCAATGTCATATCCTTAGAGGAGGCAAAAGCAGAGCTATAAACTGTCAATTTTCTCTTCTACTGGGAACAATCACTTTAGGAAGAATATTCCCTGTGAAATACATAGGTATGAATCTTCCTGACAAACATCTCCATTGGAGAAAAAGGGCTGTCAGAAGACCTGTCTTGACACATCGGAATGGGTCAGGGGGAAGAAGCTCTTTCAAAAGGGAGGTAGACGTGTGCCCCAAAAGACATGGAGCTTAGCCTGCAGAACGGTAAATACGAGTCAACGTGTGACGTCTGACTTCATCAGTTTTGCAGAAAAGCAGCGATTCCGTGGCAGACAGCAGTGGAAAGCAGCGCTAGCTCTTTGCTCTATTCTCAAAGCCCCTCACACAGAAATTCCCAAAAAATCTCAATAAAGAGCAAAAAGGTAAAGGGCTCTCCTTTGGGAAAAGCAGAGCACCGTGCCAAGACAGGCTGCTCCAACCCCAGCTTCCTAATGCAGGAAATGTGGCTTTAGGAGCTCTGGGAACATGGACATCTCCCATCAGGCAAAGCAGGGAACGGTTGTTGGGAGAAGGAACTGACTCTCGCGGTGACTCTGTACTGCTCTGCAGCCAGAGCAGTATTGCTGCTTCTGAGGTGACCTTCGAGGACATGTGCGCTAAATATGGTATAAATTTAACACCACGTTCGTTCTGATCAAAGAACCGTTTGCTAAGAACCTCCCGTTTTTACCCCTGTCGAAGAAGTAGTGATGCTGGTTTATACCGTCCCCACCCTGCCCCCACCAAGTCCTCAGGAAGTCATTCAGTCGCTACGAGCGGCAGACTTGACCTGAAAACCGAATTAAAAGGTCAAGATACTTGCGTGAGGGAGACGGGTTTTTTTCACCAGCCAGTTTCTTACAGAAGCAACAGCGTGGCTCGTAAAAGCTGACATCGAGAAGCTTTCTAGGCACAACTGGAAATGCCCAGGATCCGGAGCTCCTCCCTCCCCCGTTTCTCGTGCGCTTGGATTTTCTCACACCATTTCAGCTAGGTGGGTACTTGGAAAAAGCGACGCTTCCTTCTCAGCTGGCAGCAGTGTGAATTCAGACAAACGTTGGTAGCTAACTGAGGTTAAACCCGGGAATCTTTAGAACTCCGTCGTTCGGTTTTTCCAGCTGTTCCCCTCATGCTGTAGCTTGCTTAGGAAACGCTGCGAGCGCAAGAAAAAAAAAAAAGGCACACGATTGAAGAATGAATTACACAGATGTCAGTATTCCAAAAAAGCCACTGTTGGAAGAACACTATTTTTCAGGGTTGTGGTTGGTTTGAGAGGTTTTTTGCCATGTTATTACACTGGATTAATGTTTTATGCATCACCCTAAAAATTTTAAATGATTTGGTTTCTCACTGACTTGAAAGAGAAGGAAAAATAATTCTAAAGTGTCAGTAATCTTCTGCACTGAAGTTTGCAACAAGCAGGACATCAAAGGAGAAGTTACGACACAGCCGAGGCTCCAGAGTGCATTCCGTTTTCCGGGGTGGATTTGGCTTGGTGCAGGGCAGCTTGAATTCTGAAATGTGTTCTTGTTTCCATGGAGTAATTCTTGTAGTTTTGTCTAAAACAAAAGCAGATGCACTCTGATGAGTGTGTATTTTTTTAGAACGTTTTCAAGTTACCTTTATATTGCTGTTCTAAGCGAAACAACTGCAGACAGCAAAAAAGCCCTTCTTCACAAGCTCCTTTGTTGCCTGCTCGAAAAGACAAGGCCTGTGTTCCTGGCCAACACCGCAGCTCTTGGTTCTTTAGTTGTAGTGCCACTGTCTGGCAATTACCAGACAAATTCAGCTTAAGAAGTAATTGAATCTGTTCCACTCAATCAAAATACTGAGTTCACGTTAATATCTATAACATCCACGCAGTTTACATTCAGAAATCTGATTATTTTTTTTCTCCCCTCACAAAGTATAACTGACAAATTGGAATACAAACATTTTCAGGATTTTTTTCCCCATTTTAGTAAGATGGACTCAATTGAGCAGGTATTTTTCAAGGAAGAGGAGAAAAGACAAGGAGAGAGCAGCTGTCCTGGACCAGGAGAGGGAAACACGCCGTCCGCAGCCTGCGGCTGTCAGCGATGTGCACTGTGTGTAGGAAACAAGGCCAGACAATTTGCTGCCCGAGAAGATTGGTGAGAGAAAGCGGGCACACACGAGACTCCCTATCAGCTTTCGAGGAGCAGTTCGCCAGCCTGGGAAAGCCTGGCAGGATTTTCCCCCCACACACCTCGTGGCTGACTCCGCAGCGTCACCTGCCTGTGGTCTCCCCTAGCTATGCCATGCTCTGAAGGGTGACAGAAACCGTAAAAGAATCTCTGTTTTCATGGAAATGCTTGTATGTAAAAAAAATTTTGCTGCTGGGACCACACAGAAAGCGCAGAACCTACTTAGTAGGAATGAACATGTCAGCTTTTGCAAGATGAATACGGAATCCTGACACCAAAGAGGATGAGACCATGCTGATTTTCTTTTTGAAAATATGAGTCGTCTTTACAGACACAGAACATGAAATATTGAACAGTCTATGCACCTTACAAGCATTTCAGTCTGAAATTCGTAACTCAAATCAAATGCAGAAGCATGGGATGTGTCACTATGGCAGTCTGAAAACAAGGAATTCCACACCCATCCTACACCAGTCACAATGTTAAGTATGCAACGCCCAAGGGCTGAAGGAGAAAAGGAGGTGACTGGGTTGTACTCTATGCTGATTGGACACTCTTGGGAGTTTTTTCTTTAATAAAGTGGATTTTGGCATGCAGATACTGCATTTCTCATCAGCAGGCTGATATTCTTGCTTGCAGCTTACAGTAATACAAACAGAAACATTCCCATGCGTGACCAAGCCCAAACTGTTTATCACCTCAGTCCACTCCTCCCAGAGCTGCAGCATCCAAGCCAGCAGCAGGATGTGGATTTAGGTCAGGCAAATCAAGCGTCACGCAGAGCCGGGTGCTCAGCTGCACACCTGCCGACTGCAAACCTATCTCTGCGGTCCTGGCACCCCGCGGGCCAAGGCCTTTTGCCTCCGCTGCCTGCAGAGACAGCTGAAGGCTTACAAACCCCGTGCCTTTTAATGCAGCGTGGAAATGTAAGGACTGCACGTTTTTATCACCAACAAACAAGGGCGGGGGGGGTTACGGTGGTTTTGGGGGGGTTTCTTTTGCGTATCACGACACTTTCCATGAGTTCTGCGAGCATAGCAAGTCTGAGTATGAGCTGTCCGTACACTAGGAAACAACAAACTTTTCAGAGCTGTCTCTCTTCTTCAAGCCAAACACCTTCCCTCGAGGGGACCTGAGCTGCAGAGCCACTGGGGAAAGGTGCAGTGGCTCAGCACAGGGGGCGGAAGTGCCAGATGGAGCGAGAAGCTGTGAATCATTAATTTCTGGATCTCTTTGTAAGAGAGATTTGGACAAACGAAACAAGGACAGGAGAGGTGTGCTTCGAGGAATGCGAAACCAACTGAAACGCCTTCCATCGCGTTCTGCTAATGCAACTGTTGATTTTCTTAATATCTTCCATGAGTCTGCAGAGAACCAGGCTCACAGGCACAGGAGATCAAGAACCGCAATATTTTATGTCTGTGTTGACAGGCTTTTGGCATAACCTCCGGTAGGCTGACTCACCACTCTGTCTTGAGAGTGGACTGGCTTGGACAAAAGCTCAACACAAAAACTCTACCTGCCCTCTGTGAAAGTGGGGCCAGACAGCAGTTTTGTAGCTGCTGACACCTGCGGCAGTGACCGCTGCGACTCTCTGCACCTGGGAGGATGCAGACATCTGGGCTCATTCAGGATCCAGGCAGAGAGGTGAACGACCCTGCTGCAGGATGCTTGAAGAGGGCGGTTGTTTGGTTTGGATTCCCTCTCCTCCACCCACCAGGAAACTTCAGCTCAGCAGAGATTAAAGGCTCGGACAGAAGCAAAACCTGTGCTTCGTTAATTTTATAATAAAGAGCATACCTGCTAAATCCCACTATTCCTGATAAACCTGCTTCGCTAGAGAAATCAATCACAGAGAGGAGTAAAAGCAGGTGCTTCGGTTGCCTTTCAGATGCAGATGAAACAATACAAAGATACCAAATGCAACCCGAAGCGTAATCTTCAACATATTTCATCAAGAAAACAGCACTGCTAGCCACCAATTTGAGCAATGCTATTCTGGGATAGCACAGAGCTCTGATTTAATCTCCTATATCTTTTATGAATAAGTAAGGCCACGTTTTGTTACACGGAGATTATTTCTTATAGAAACATCTTTAAATTGTTTTTCTCTTGGCAGAACGGATGGGTAAGTCACAGACTGAAGGATCAGATAATGTCTACCACCAGAAAGGTCCAACCCAAGCCTAGTGCATGCATGCCTCCACTGAAAAAGGAAACAGTGAGCTTCCATGATATTAACGAAACATTTCCGCTCCCCGCTAACCAGTGAAATACCACACTGACCCATCAGACATCAGCACAGGCTTTTCACTTGCTTACTTTGCTCTTTCCAGCAGTTTTATTGCTTCTTCTCTTCTATCCTGGTCTAGATACAGTATCGCCAGCTCCAGCAAGGCATTTGGAATTAGATAATGGTCATATTTTATCTTCTTCTCACTGCATTGGAAAAGAAATAGCCTCAAGATCTTGAAACGATATATTGTTTCCTTCATTTAACAGTTCCAAAGACAAATAAATAGGAGATTAGCTGAGATCAGAAGGAGCAATCAATCTCTATTACAGCACTTGTCATGTTCTCTATACAAAGCTACTTCCCAGATTATTAAATCTGTATTTTTCATAACCATCCTGCACAGTGTGTTATTTCTCAGGATTAAAAAATACTGGCTTTGTGATCAGGAAAGTATTAGAAAAGATGACAGTATCATGAGCTCTGTCCATATGAAGTGACAAAGAGGTGCCATTCACTGCATGATACATAGAAGTTCCAGGTACAGGCGTGCTGCCATCTGTCTCTACAGACTGCATTTGGCTTTTTGGGTGCAGCTTCTTCACGACTGGCAAGAGGAAGAGGTGGGGGCAAAAGGGAAGTGGTATCTCAAAAATGTTATGCATGTATAGCCCCCCAAAAAGGAGAAAATATCTCAGTGAAGTGTGCAGATTTGCAATTCTTCCATACATGACTAACAACACAGCCATTAACACTGCAATTCCTTGATATGAAAGCAACCGAAATAAACACTAAATACACTGCTCTCCTCCCCCCATTCTGTTCCTATGACAGTTGCATCTCCTCTTACTCAAAATGAATAGTCACTGAGAAATTCAAGAGCTCTCCTATATTCCAGGTATGAAAACTTACTTTAAATAGATGTAATTAAAATGGTCTTCTGCTTCCGAGATCTGGCCCAAATGCTTGAGGCATAAACCCTTTAAGAGTTTTATCACGCACTGGTCATCCGCTAGTAATTCTGTAGCTGCAAGGTGAAGTAAAGAGCACATTTTAGAAAACTCTAGAGCAGCAGACACTTCTACACAGGTAGGTGTAGACACAGCCCATTTACTGGAACACAGAAGTAACTCACTGGTCATTTTAGTTCATTTAACACAGAGACAAACATGCAACCGTTTCACAAATCGATCAAACTATCTAAAAACTGTTGGGCTGTTCTTTCCCTCCCTACTCCCACTGAAAGGCTATTCCACCATCTTACTGATCTGATACCTAAAAACTAAAGTGTCCACTCTGGAAATACTGAGGTCCAATTTATAATCTCCAAACCTTATGCCTTTATTGCCCTTTAGTATGTGTAGCTCTTCTCTTTCCTTGACTTCTAATCACAACATCTATTTGTAGGCAAGTGTTTATCGACTCTCCACCTTTGTTTGGCTACACAAAAATACACCCAACTTTGTTACCTGCAGCTCACATCCCCCCATCTTCTTACACACTGCCCAGAGCTTTACCAGTGCCTAGTTCCAAGTCATTTCTGATGAAGAATGGGTGGTGTTAGTGAAGTTTTGCATATTACATTCCAAAAAACCTCTGGCTTTCTCATAGCCATTCCCTATAGGCAGCTTAGTCTTAAAAGTTTACAAGCAAAATCTTCAGCTTGCTTGTTTGCTTGTTTTCCAATTCATGAAAAGTTTCTGCAAAATGTGTGATACTGCATCTTGTGCTACTGAATGTCACCCTGTTTTCACTTCTCCAAACCTCACCTGCTTCTTCCTCTATCACTCCAGCTCATTAAAGGCTGACACACACTGCACAAAACAGCTGCTTCCCTTTGGACTATGCAGTTGGAAGCCTTAATCCTGCAACTGGAGTCCCTTCTACAGGTAAATCCCACAGAGGCACCAAGACACGTCACCAAAGCAAATCCCAGGGAAAATCCCAACGACTATGCAGCAAACTAACTTAGAAGAACAGGGAAGAGGGCAAAAGTTGGCACACTAAGTATGTGCACAGAGAGATGACTCAGGGCCACAGAAGAGATATTTCATAAGAATAAAAAAGCAGATCAGTTGTCCCTTCTCGACACCTGTCCCAAGAACACGTTCACACACATGCATTTCCTCTACTTATCCTACAAACTGTCCTGGATTGTATAAGCAGACATTTAGGGACTTATCCTAGACACAGCTATGAATATCAGATTTGCATTTCCGGACACTACTTCCACAACACACTTCCTTTTACATCTTCTATGGGTGTAAGGCTGCTAAAAGCACATCCTCGGATTCATGGTTTTATAGTGTTAGATTCTTGCATTATGAATCTAGCAGTAATACAGAGAAAACACTTGAAAATACAATAGTTTAGCCCCAAACACTGTCAGGAAAGCTGAAGAAAAGCCTGAGGCTTGGAACAGCAAGTCACTATTTGGGACGGGTAATACTTTAAATTGTTGGTGTTTAAAATAGATCCCACCTTGCAATTACATGTCCTCACAGTGTTTTATAAACATGCATCAGCTTCTACAAATCCCTGCAAAAGAACAGCCTAATACACAATTTACCAACTCAGAAAAAGAAGGGAACAGAGAAATAATTAATTATTCAAAATAGTGTAGGAAAATGGGCGACAAAGGAAGTGAGGGGGTCAAAAGCCTTCATCCAAGGTGCCACCTTCACTGAAAATATTTTTCTGTTCTCTTTCACAATTAATTAAGGAGATAGCTCTAGCCAGACTTTCAGGTTTTCGAATCTTGCATAACTCAATGTGCACAGGAAGACTAAGGTGCTAGAAAAGACTGCAATGCAGTGATTTAGCCCATACTCCTCTGTCAACAGGGGCTTGATCCTCTTGCAGGATACTTACTATGGGAAAACTCTGTGAGAAGCTGCGCAGACTGCTCGCACTCCCACAGGAGCCGGGGGAGAGCGGCAAGAAATCAACATCAACTGAACTTCCTCATGGATGGCTAATCAAGAGACTGACAGAAGATGTGGCAGCAGGGCCTGTTCGAGTTCAATACCGTCCCTTATCTTGTGCTCATTCGCAGCGCAAAGGAAGCCCATCCCTGGTGCCCCCCCTTTCTGCAGCATACGGCCATCACACAAATAACATTCAGCCCAAGGTCACATCCTAAACTGACAGCACTTCTACAGCCTTGTCTCCTCCTATTTATGCTTAAAAACTGAAATACAGTATCCGAGGATAACAAAGCTTCATGAGCCAAGTAATCAAGTCAATGCATATGCTGATTTTGATCTAGCAAAATAAACAGCCCTTTAATACATGTCAAACTATTCCTAATACACATCTGTGGATGGAAAATCACTTGCTACTACTCTAAGTTATTGCTACATTAAAAAGGAAAATTATTCTTATCTGCATAAACAGTTTATGCTTTCATTATCTATGTTCCTCCTATGATCAGATTAACTTTACTAATGAGTGTCTCTCTCTTTTCACAGATAATATCTTCGCTATTGCACTGTAAAATACCTGCTTAAATGGTATCACGGATTACCTGAACTTCTTGCCAATGCTGCTTCTGCTTCAATTAAAGTCTCTAACATCCCTTCTGTTAAGTTGGGACATTTTCCAATTACAGCGTAGCCATTCCAGATATACATAATTTCCTAGGGACAGGGAGAAATGACAGCATCATTAATTACAGTATCGGGTAACTGCAGTTATCAAATTTATCTCTGTGTGATGAAAAAGTTACAGATTCCTTAAATAAAAAGTCAGTTTGTCAAAACATAGTTTCATTGCAACTGAAAACCTGTTACATTGGTTTTCAGAACAAATTAGATCAGAAGACTACTAAAGAGCCACTTATGACACACAACACAAGGAGGATTGCTTGAACAGAATGCAAATGCAATCCCACTTACAGATGAAGGCAAGACACACTGAACACATTCATGGCACATGGATAACTGTCCCTTGATTAAGGGATCCTCTTGCTTCTCAGTTCTGTACCAGTCAGGGTAGTAATAACTATAAAAAACTAAAATGTATTCCATAATAAAATACAATGCTTCCATAATAAAATATGAAATCTCAGGACAACAGAACAAAATAAAAAGAAAAATCAAACCTCCTAACTTTTAAGCCAAGCTTCAAATAAACCAACAGAATTTTAGAGCCGAACTGGAAAGCCCTTAAATTTGTCAGGTTTGTTTGATGGTCCCACAAGAAGTAACTTAAATTTTATTAAAGACAATTGGTTCAATTCCTAGTTGTTATTGGGGTTCTCAGAGTGTATCGCCAGACCAAGGGTGCCCATTGCCACTAGCAATCACAAAGTTGGAGATGGAAATATCACATAGACTTACGACTGGTCCTCATGACAAGTTATTTATTCTATTAACTTATATGACCTAGTCTGTACTGATAATTGAAAGCTTTTCCCTAAAATTTCTGTATAGAATAACTGAGTGCCGGAACTACAGTACAAAAAGCTGTCAGGCTAGAATAGATGGAACAGTGTGTTAACCCCTGTCCCTGTTGCTTTTGCCATCTGGTCTCTGCTGACTGGAAAACCTGTGCAGAACTTCCTGTGTCTAGTGCACACTCTTAACGTGGCTTTGCCACAGAATTGCTCGAACTACACCCATTCTAGGCTCAATCTCTGAGCTGAGACTTGCTTGAGGAGTTGCTCCTCTCAGCAAGACCCTTCGCAGTGAAAACAAAAATCCTGGAGATGAGATTCTGCACCCAGTTCCCCATTCTAAGAGTGCTTTTGACTGTTCAGCTGCGGCATCTGCTGCTCACCAATGCAACTGCAGCCAAGGACACTGCCTGGCCACTCCTCGGTACAGAAACCTGTTCTGCTAAAATCCCACTGGCATAGCCAGGTGTGTACGATTCTGACTCTCTACAGTCTCTGAAACCTGAAAGGCAAATCAAAGTAACCTAATTATTTCTCTCATTTCAGTCTTATGACTTACTGGAAAGCGGTCCCCAGCGAATACCCACGCTATGCCGTGACAACCGCATCCTTCTAGCAGCACTGTGTCACGTTCCCAGCTGGTGGGCTGAGAAGTGACTGCTCACTGGTGTCTCCAAGAGGATCTCCTCCTTCAGGCATTTGCTTAAGGAGTATTTACTAATTATCCATCTGTTTCTCCAACACAACAGCTCAAAGCGCTGCAAATGTTAACGCCACTGCACTTGGCGAACCTACGGAGCCAAAACCCTTCGATGTTCTTTTAGGTGTTCTTTGCAGACAGATGTTTGAGCGCACTGTGAGCACCTAACACAGCTCTTCTCATCCGGCCACGGGGAACTGGCCAGCTTTACCCACAAAAAAAAAGGGAAAATCAACACTATGCAATGGTTTTCTGGAGTGGCTAAAGGCTCTGGCTGTTTCATCCCGGCATCTGCGCGCTGCTCTGGAGAGCACCAAACTGCAAACTTTCAGAGGCACATTAAATAGATGATTACAGGCAGTTCCTAGGTTTTTTGCTTCCTTGATTTGCACACACCCCCCACCCCACTCCCCAACTTGCACCTCAAAGCCTTCTTTTAGTAGGCTCAGCGAAGGACACATGACAGAAGAGACCTAGGGCAAAGTTCCTCAGAAGGGAATCAAAAGAAAGCTGTTGGGAGCATGTTAGTCTATAGCTGGAATAATGAGTTACGCATGCAACACATCTCCGTGTCACAAACAACTGGCTTAGTTCCCCGTGGCTGGTGCATGCCCCAGTTTTACAGCATTCCTCGCATTCATTTGGCTGTGCTTTGGGAACATTCCAGTCTCCTGCAGAGGTTTTACCTTAGAAACATGGAAGGATACTATTCGAATTATCTCGGGTTTATTTCCATAGTTTTTAAAAAAACGGTAGTAAGGGGGAAGGGGTCTTTGACTTACCAAAGGCGGAACAGGCAAAGGAATGGGGTTTGAAGAAAGATACCGTCGAGCTTTCCGAATTGCAAACTTCTCTGTAGGCAGTGACTTCCCTGCGATTTTCAGTTTCAAACTGGGAACAATCCTGAAAGTTTAAAGGAAAATGTAAGGAATCTTTCCTCCGTGAACCTTGGGAAAAAAAGCCATTAAAATTAAATTAAAAAAAAAAAAATCAAACCAAAGACAACTCAGAAATACTCTTACACACTGAGCTATTGCTACCTCTGAGGAAGCTGGGCAATACCTATTCACAAAACCTGTCTTCGCACAGGGCACGTTTATCTCTAGGCTTCCTCTTGAATCAAGCAGGAGGAAGAGGGACTCTTCCCCACCCAAAGAATAAATTAGATGATGCACCTAACTTATGAAGGGCCCATCTCTCTTCACAGACAAAGAAAGAGGCAAACTAGTTTTTTCTGTGTTCCTCCCATTCTCCCAAAGACCAAACTGCATCACTTTATAATGGACCCCCAACCCAGTGAAATCTGCTTGCAATGGTATAGAAGATGTGGAAAGCCTGAGAAGTACCAATATGTTGTAAGCACATAAGAAAGTGATACTTAAATTTGATAGAAAAAATTGTAAAAAACAAAGTAATCAATTTTCTTTGGCCCAGAAAGGTTTAGGCATTTTTTGAGCTTAAACACTGCAATCAGGTTAAGTCACTGTATTAATAATAGATATATTCACTTGCACATATTACTATTTCATATTCCGCTCAGATTTAAAACCCAAGAATCGAGTTGTATTGATGTCTCCACTGAAGAGGCACACATCATGTAGACTAATTCACTGAAGGCTTTCAGATCTTACACACCCTTTTGATTAAAGGGAACAACTGAAAAAGACTGTGAATATTACATGCAACAACGGTGCCAGCCACTGTATGGCTGACAGACCTAATATCCTGTCTCTGAAGTATTTCCATGCCAGTAGAAATCTGCTGCCTGAACTCAGGGTCCACTTTAGTCTAAGGGGATGATGTTTCATTCTGCAATTTCTTACCAATCTGATGCTGTTTGCGCAGATCTTCTGACCTGCACAAAGAATAATTTTGCCTCTCTTCCCCCAGCACTGTGACGTGAAGACAGGAAACTGCTGTAACTGGGAGTTAGCAAATCCTACCTAAATAATTCAACTTCGCTGTCTCCAAAAGGACTGCAGTCATCTGGTCCAAACATACTGAGATAAGCAGCTTTCATGTAAATGTAAGTAGCCTGCAAATGCAATCAAGAATATCTGTACAGAAAAATGAATTTACAGCATCACCGTTATTGACACAAAGCACAAAACAGCAACGAAGAGGAAGAAGTTGCTGCTTTTGCCCACAAATATATGTAGTCTTGCAAAATTTTACGCAGGAGGTTAAGTGTTTTAGAAAGTGGAGTATATTTTTTCATGTATGTCTGTTTACATTGTATCAGCTTATTGTCCACATTCCAAGAACATGTCTGTTTACATTGTATCAGCTTATAGTCTGTGTCCACATTCCAAGAACGTAAGTAATGTTTGTGTAAAGTGAATGTTACTACTCTCAGGAATACCTGCTAGGAAACCTATGAAAAGGTCATACTCTGAGGAAAAAAACCCAAACTTACTATATAGTCTATGTGTCCAATCTCAACTTGATAGCATGTCTCAAGTATTAGGTTCTAGAGAACATGAAACAGGTTTTGAAGGGTTTAATGATTTCAGGCTATGAAAAGTACTGATTTCACAGGGATTTCTGAGCAACCATACATTCCAAGGAAAGCAAAGCAGATGCTGACATTACAACTCTCACAACAGTAGAGAGTAATAGTCGATGAGCTCTTGAGTACTGCTTAAGGAGTCTATGGTATCTGTAAATTTCAGGATTTTTTCTGGAATATTTTAAGCTGTGATTATTTATTTGCACTGGAATCTAACAGTGGATATACCGGACCATCTTTCATTTCATATTTATTTGCACTGGAATCTAACAGCAGATATACCGGACCATCTTTCATTTCGCTCATGTAGCCAGTACTTTGCTACTGTCACACTGCACTGTAGATTATGTATTAATAGGAAGCATCTTCCGTGCTTCTCTAAGGCCCCTGCAATATCATATGAAGCTGTACAAGCTGTTTAAAAGGACACACATTAATGTTAATCCTACAGCATTCCAGGACACAAAAGCTTTTGGGCAGCTGGTGCACCCAGGCCTGGCTGTGGGAGTTCTGTGGGAGCTATCCAGATAAATCCAGGTGGCGGACGGCATTGCTGGAATCCCCTGGGCACAGGGACTCCAGGCAGCAGCTTTCACCCATCTGGCAGCATCCAGAGTAGCTCTCACCTGGCTGCTTGGCCCTTCTGTTGGTTTTGGTTACACTTGGCCAATACATACAATGTGCAGGTAGAAAAAACAGAGACACACCCCCCACACACACACTCTGATCACATTAAGAAGAAGCAAGCCCATAAACCCCTAATGAACCACACACCCCCCGCCAGACTTAATGCCTTCTGACAGATTTCCCTGGGGCTCGGGGGGAAAAAAGGCTGCCAGGGTTCTGGATGGAAGAGCTTCTCCCTTGCAGGTGCACAGGGCAAGGCGCCTCTTGTAATTACATTTATTATCCTGGAGGCACCGTCATGACTAGCCTCACTCAGCACCAAAAGCGCTTGTTTCCATAATGTAATGAAAGAAATGGCAACCTGTGCCACTAATTGCAACGCGTTGCTGACACGACCAGTCAATACACAGCAGAACATCCTTAACAAGCTGTTCTTCACCTACAGGTCAGGCCCAAGATTCCTGTTTGCCCACAATCCGTTCAGATCTGAATGTTTGCAATTCTTGTTACTCTAGAAGAGCCACAGCAGAGCAGGTGGTGTTTTACAATCTTCATCTTCAAAGCCACACGGTCAATCTGACAAAGTTAACAGACACTACAGGGCCTTCTGCCCTCCCGTTCCACTCAACTTACCTTCGACCACGTGTTTTCTTTGCTTAGCAGGTCTGCATAGAAGAAAGCCATCTTCCACTGGCGCTTGTAGGTGAAGCACCACATGAGTTCCCAGTAACACATGTGATGAAACTGCTTCCAGTACTGCTGAGCCTCACAACATTCTTCATACCTATTAACTGCCTGAACACAGGTATTTCCAATCACTGCCTTAATCGTGTGTAAATGCACATACACCACTGCTGTAACAGACACTAGGGCTCTATGATCTGCTGGCATGGCTCCTGCAACCTCCAAATTACTAACAGTATTCCCCAAAATCACATCTGTTGGCCTCACACAACACAGATCTTTGGGCTCCACCATCATCCTGGCATTAGAAAGTCTACCCCTACCACAGAGCTCCCCACTCTCAGAAGTTATATTAAAACCTAAGCACAGGCAAAATGAATGTTTGTGTCTAGGGAAATTAGGACACTGAAGTCAGCAGACAGATGCTCAGCTGACATTTATTGTTGCAGCTCAAAAGATTGCAAGGGAGTTACCACACTGCAGACCAGCTGATACTCTGTCTCAGTATTTTGGACGTGCATTCCTCACCTCCCTAATTCTTTCAAGTCTTACGTGACTCTCCACTCAGACTGAAGGCAAAGGATTAGCACTGGATGTTATTAAAGGCACAACTGGCTTCAGGATAGGAAAGACAATGAGAAAACTGTGTCATTAATACTGGAGGACTAGATTATCACCAGAAATTGAGAAGGGCAGCAAAATGAGCTGGTCAAACAAGCTAGGCAAAATAGTTTTCAAAATTCCTATTTGTAATTCATAAACTACAAATTACATATAGGCCAAAGCCACAGGAAACATTAGCCAAAAAGGAAACATTGTTCCTGGAGGAGTTTTTGCTACAGCTTCTGAGACTCACTTTCCCAAGAGCAAAAGGATTACTTACCGCATCAATATTGCCCTTTAGTGTTTCTATCCTGCCTGCAAAAAACAGGAATATGGCTCCCTGTAATAAATAATAATAAAAATACAAGTATTCTATAACAGTTTTCAAGCTGGCCATACGGTCTACATCTTTGTTATTTGGCAAGAAAACATTAAATGATGATACCAAACTAAATTACGATTCATTTTACCTTTGGATAGCGAGCCAAGTAAGGCTTAAGTAGTCTTTCTGCCTCCTCAACATTTCCTTTTCCTGTCCCTAGAATGTATAAAAATGCAAGTGATAAAAGTAGTAATAAAATTAAATAATAATAATAAATAATAATAATAATAAAAGATCAGGAATGTGAAGTATTGATTAGCCATCCTTGTCTGGCCAATTGTATAAGTTCCTCTCTGATAAGTAAGGCATAAATACAGGTTGGTGTTGCACTAAGCCAGCATGCAGGAAAGCCTGAACAACACTGGGCTTACTGACTTGAAAACTCACTTATGTGCAGCCCAACACATTTTGTAGAATGCTTTAGCAGGAGCTCACAGGGAAGTGTATCTTGGCAGGAAGCTATCACCTCCCAGAAAAGTCCGGGATGACGTACAAACATGAACAATGTATTCAGGAAGTCATCACTTACAGCCATTGTTTTAACCTCCCAAATAATGCACCTGACTACTGAAGAAAGGTTTAGTTCTCACAATTTCCACGGCTATCCTCATCTTCTCCCTTCTTCTGTGCTAAACAACCCTCCACCCTGCAGATTAAGACACTCTTCAGCTATGATCAACCATTGTAAAATCACCCACAGATGAGTTCTATTTAATCTGATCATGAGCAAACAATTCAGCAACAAATAGGTGATGGATTCAATTTTTTCCCCTCTGTGTCCCACAAAAACTAATCAAATCCGAGAGTTATTATAAACAATCTTACCTAACACAAAGGTCATGAAAGTATGATAGCAAAGCAACAGCATGGTACACAGCACCGACCTAAAGCTGTATGATGATGCTCCTTCTTGAAGCTGCAGCAGACCATGCTCCTGTGCAAACAGAGGTGAGGAGGAGAACGCATTGGGAAAGAACCAAAGCTGTGTTTGTTAACTTCCGCAGTGTCATCTACAGACTGCTCACTCACCAGACTCCTAAAATGCACTGACAAACACTGCTTACAGAGCAATCAAAGATAAAAACATACATACAAAGTTATCTAACAGTTTTTCATGGAGTTACGGCTTAGCCTGGAAAACAGCTGATGACAGAGCAGCAACTTAGGATTTATTACGTGGTTAACATAAGAGAATGTGAGATCACTTATCACCATCACCCAAGTGCTGCTAAACAGCATTCCAGAAACAAAACCCGGCATTTTGAAAGGCAAGGCAAACACTATCACCACTGTGCAGTGTATCCATGTTTGTTGTGACTCACTACATAAGCAAGATATTTAAAGATATCAAGGAAAAAAAACCTCTGCAACTAGCAAAGCAAAGGATAATAGGGCAAAAGGATAATAGGGCAAAATGTTCTTAATATTTTAAGAATGTTAAGAACAAAAAGAGCTTTGCAATGACGCTGGCCCACTACCACACATGGAAAAATAGGATGAAAAGAAGAATATTTCTGTACCCTTTGGGAAGAACTAAAGCAATTGGGTATAACGCTGTACTCTTATTCAGTGAGAGCATGACGGATAACCAACTCTAAGGACTCAAACCCCTAAGGACACAGCATTTATCAGACCATTCTGGACGGGTTCCATGATATCAACAACAAGAATATAAATATGCAAACCTTAAACATGAGACCTGCCTGCCAGCGGGTAAGCAGAGCAAGACATCCACTGCGTGCCGAGGAAAATTCTGCTTACAAGTTACACTACGACTGCGATGGAAAGCTACCGAACATGATGTATGTGACTATAAGGACATCCTTTCAAACCAGCTACGCTATAAATAGGGACCCTGAGGGATGTCTATCGGAGCCACCGCGGAAGGTATCAGAGACAGCACTCAGAGCATGGTCTCAACACAGATTTTCCTTTTTTTGTGTGCCCTTGCCGATAGAAGGGCGTTAACGTTACCTCACCTTCACCACTTACTGTGTGAACCCTGAAGCCTGTAACCATATTCTAGTTGTCATCATACATCTACTTTTTTGCTTAACCGTTTTCACATAGATAAGTTATTTTGTGGGTTTAGAAAAAATAATCTTAATTTCTTACATTAATTACTGTTATAGGGAAAGGTACCATTAACACAGATATTTGCAGGTCAATTAGTGTGACATCCAGCCTGGACAAAACAATGAAAATACCGACTTGCGTGTCAGAAGACATTAAAAGACAGTAAAGTCATTATTGAAAAATCAATAACTTAATAGAAATGAAGCACTCAAGCAAATAAAGCCAACTTCATTTTCTGCTGAGAGCAAATGTTTGATTGATACAGGTAACTAAAAAAGTGTGATATATTCAGCTTCTTTCAACTGCCCAGATGAAAACCACAAATATTTGAATTAAAAAAAAAACCAAAAAAACCCAAAACATAGCACTGTAGCACTGCAAGGTACAAGTAAGACAAAACATTCTGTGGAATGAATTTTGGCAGAAAAAAATTCCAAAGTAGATTTCCAAAGTACATTTTCCAAAAGTGAAAATTCTTCAGGCTTCTGCTGAGCCTTTATTTTTATGGAGCCTTTTTCACTGAGTCTTTACTGACATCAGTACTAGGCCTTACAATGTTTGACATCTGCCACATAATACAATATAAAAATGCGTATAAAATGGGTACCGATCACATTAGAGAAAAGCATTAAGAATGATAGAGAAAAATTTGATTAGTCATACAGAACAATTTCATTATTTGTCAAGTAGATCTAACTTATGTATTTTAGTCCCCAAAAATCTATTTTAACACCGCCAAACACAAATTTATCATCTGTATGAAACAAGGAATGCAACCCACACGCACCCTGTATGGGACTGCATCCTGGAAAGCAGGAACAGTGAATAACTGGGTTAAGAACTTTTTTTTAGGATAGGGCTGCAAATGTGGCATACTTGAGACTAAAGTCCTAAACCGAGTGGTTATACAGGTACAGGAATCTCACCAAGCAAGTTAGTTCACTCTCTGGTACATCCATACTCCTATTTTGTCCAGTACAGGTGATCAAGAATGCTTATCTTTCACTCTGCCACCTGAATACCCCAAACTTTCTACATTAAAGTAACAATATCATCAGTAGACACAGCCTGAAGAAATCTAGAAGTAGTTGTCACTAGTATTACAACACTTGCTTTTAGAAAAGGCTGCAACAAAGCTGCTTCTCCTCAAAAAACCTCTTGCAAACTGCTTGTGTTACGGTGAGATGAGATCCCCAGGAACGTGGGATGATGAAGGGTGTCACCAGGAGCCACGCTGTACATACCCTGTTCAGACAGCTTCCCTGGGCTCCCTCCGTGGCTGCCAGGGACAGAGGTACTCCTCCAAGGAAGGATTCAGCACAGAAGCCGAGGTCAGACATGAATCACCTCTTGAAGCACCTACTCTTTCTCCTCAGGGAGCCTTCCGAGATCAGCCGCAAACCGCATCAGCTAAGTGAGGTGTCAGGAGCTGGGCAATACTACACCCGTGTAATCCTCACTGGGGAGCAAACTGAGCATCCCTAAATGACAAGCAGCTTCCACTTCAGCCCAAGAAGCAAACAAACTACACTCACTGCTGCCAGTGAGTGTATTGTATTCAATTGTTAGGGCACACCTTCTAACCAGAAATAATTCATAAATATCTACTACACTTCGGCCACAGGTGACATGAGCAATCCCCGAACCCCAGGACTGAGCTTCCGAACAAAGTCTATTACAGGACATATCGCTACGACATAAAACAGATGTCAGGGCAACAAGCGCTCGCAATTCCTCCAAAATAACGAAATGACATCAACACCTTTGGTTTTTGTTTTCACACCAAACCGAAGTTATTCTGAAGGGTGTAAGGTATAATGCAGAGCAGGGAGCAAGGATGATTCTTAGAGCCAAATGTGCTATACAATAACCCTCACCTTTCTGTGCAAGTTGCTCATAACATCCCATCTCTGAATTCCCAGGACTGTCACTACATTAAAATACATCAGTATCTCATTGTTCTGATCCTTGTTCCAGGCCCTCCAATGCTCTGTCATTCAGCAATCCCCTCACAAGCAGCAGAGATTCCCACAGTGAATGCAGGATGAACAAGGACAACACTCAAAACCATTATCAGACAACCCTGAGACTGGTTTTTATTTATTTTAGCTGTCACTGACTAAAATAATCTACTTTCCCAAAGTGAAAGCTCTTGAATTATTTTAAATCGTTCTCTTTTAATTAGGGATCTTGACAATGACAGCGAAGCAAGGTCATTGCTCACGGCCCTTGACCTGATCATATTACTGCAGGCTTAACAAGGAGGATGGGTAATACTAACAGCTTTCATGAAGAACAGACTAATTAAACTGGTAGATGGGGCCTTTGAATGTATCCTATGAAATAATTTTAGATTTAACCTTCATTTAAAATTTACAGAAGAGACCAAAATGCAAATCAAAAAGATGCTTAGTGGGAAACTGGAATTCAATTTATTACCATTGAGACATCAAAAATATTCTCCAGCTCAATTGCTGTGGGAAAAATGTCCGCCCACATTAAAAAGTATAATCTGAAAGAAATTGGTTCTAACAAAGTTTTCCTGCCTTCCCCTGAAATCATGCTGCCAGCTGGCCCTCTGACAAATGGCAGTTAACACGTGGTGAGCTCATGTCAAACCTTTCTACAATTTAGCAGCACAGTATTTGTAATTGTCTATAAAATATGAGTAAATATGAGCCTGAAACCTGGCAGAGGGGTCAGTACAAAGGCTTCAATGCTTCAATGGGAGAGTGAGTGCAAGGACTTCTGATCTCACACCACAAATAGTTATCAATAAAGTGCGGATGGGACACATACTCCACCTGCTGCCTAGGGAGTGAGGCAGGCATGCCTCCCCCGCACAGCATACCTGACGGCGTGCCATATGTACCTCTCTCTCTGCCCACAGAGAATTTCTGACGAAACTGGGCAAAACGGCATTGAACCTCAATATCCAAATGCAGGGCCTATGCCATTAAACACAAATAAGCCAGTATTTTGACTAACGATACAGGGGAAAGGAGCTTGAACAGTGAGAATGGCACAACTGGCACATCTTGGAGCAGAAGGGAACAAGCGTGGCCTCAGGCTGCTTTTATACTTTCTTGATCTTATCCCACCTACTGTTTTGAGAGTCCAGACTGCTCTTAACTTGATGATGTTGTCCACAGTGCCCACAAATGGCTTAGGAAGTAATGGAGCTCTGGGCATGTCCCCGTTTGCTATCAGACATGACGTGTCTGAAAGACAGGCAGAGTCCCTAGGGGCAGATCTGCCGGCTTCAGGGCAGATGACTATTGCGGAAGATATCGCAGTGCCGTTTCATAGCCAGTTTTAATGAACACGTGACCCACACCAAAGCAAGCTGTCCTCTGGTGCACTGCAGCGCACTCAGGTAAACTGCAAACAGCTCACGGCACTAACCATGGCGCGCTCTCACCATCTGCACAGTCTGATGCTCACCATGAGCACTTAAGGGAAAAGACTGCAAGATCAAACACAGACATATTTAAAATTCCTTTCTCCTGGACAGGGTGCAGTGCATGACACACAAACTCTGCCTCTCCTCCTCTATCACTGTTCCTTTCACCTTCAAGACTCTCCTCTGTACTGCAGGGGCCAGCTTCTTCTTGGAAGCTTTGGAAAACCACCCTGGAAGGGATGGCAAACGCAATTGCCATTTTGACTTTGCCTTTAGGCATCTGACTCACAAATGCCAAATGAAGAAAAACTTTTTTAGGATGTTAGGATAAATGACCATCAATGAACTTTAATCAACACGTTTAAAACACTCCTCTTTTATGGTGTGCAGACAGCAGGGTTTTGCTTCAATTTATGGTAATCTAGGTCATGCTTCAGCGAGTTATTAAAAAACTGGAACGGGAGCTGACTCATCAACACAAATATCAGCCCACTCACAGCCATACAAGAAATCCCAGGGCCAAAAGAAAACAACAGAAATTCAATTAGGGGGACAATTTTCATCTGCAGTAATAAGATGAGTGTTCAGCAAAGTTTTCTCAGAACTCTGCTGGTACTAGAATTGTCCTTACATTTCTAGGAGAATACTGCGCTTTGCATGTTCTTTGTTTTCATAACAGGTAGTAGAACTATTTGATTTTTGCCTCTACTACTTGTGAAACAGCTCCTGGAAGTTTCCAAGTTGTAATACACGCTGTGCCAAAAGCTCCTTGCTTTTAAACAAGAGATTTTACTTTCAGATCTAAGATCTTTCCTGTAAACTAGTAAAACGGTGATGACACTCACCCACCTGTCACGTAAAGTTGCAGCTCTGATTAAGGAAACACTCTTCTCCTTGAAACTTGTTTTGTAAATAGAAAGCATCATAAAAGAGTTAAGTTTTAACTTGTTTATACAGCTTTTGTTGTGTTTGCAGGACATCAAACATTTACCTTACCCAGCATTTATGAAATACACATGACTAGTGGTTTAGGTTAAACAGACCATATTTTCTTAATTCAGGAACCCAACTTTGAGTGAATCTCAGGTTCTGCTGGCAGAATGAGAGACAAGGGCAGGTACAAGGTATCAAGGCCAAGATATTCCCATCAATTTAGTACCCTGTTTTGAAACAACAAATCCACAAAAAAGAACTAACAGCACTTTTCGTGCATCTGCCCTGCAGAATAACTCAGGTTCATGCGAGTTTACTGGTGCTTCATTACTGAACTTCTGCCCTTAAAACCACATGCACAAACAACACAGGTCAGACTGGTTACTCTAGGCGAAAAAGCACTTACTCTTTTAGGTAAAGAGAATTTAGGTGCCACACTCAAGTTATCAGTTGCTATTAAAGACATGGAGAAAAGAAAATCAGAAATGAAATTGAATTTTATTTCTCAGCTGGATATCATGCAGGAACCTGCCAGGGACATTCAGATACCATGACAGCAACTACTGAGTAAGTTAATATATTAAAGGCTAAGAATACACTTTTGTCTATGGATTTCTAAGCACAAGCATACCTCAAAGACCGGTAACTAAAAAAAACCTACGTCAACGTCATTGTATTAGCCATTGTCTTTATCACGTTTCACAACTATCATCACTGAACAATGAGATCACACTCTTTGAACTGTAATAGTTCAGTCAAAAACATAACGGAAAACCGAACTACATGAAAGCATCAGTGCCAAGAGTGCGGATGCGATACCAACTGGAGTGTTTCAGAGGGTTACAGCTAACGTGAAGAAGAAAAGAAAAACTCTTGTCTCCATTTTTTAATTACAGAGTGAGGGGAATATACTAATACTACTTAGTTCATATTTACCTTGTTTCCAGAAAACCCAACAAACTCCAGTAATCTCAGAATCCGTGCGGGAAACATGGACAACGTCTACAGAAAGAAATGCAAGAGTTAGGCACTAACACCCCTGCTGCCTCTCAGCTGTCTCCTGCAAGTTTTCGAAACAAGAAATAACCATTAAAATACTAAAAACATGTCTGAAGGTTTCCTGGATAAATGTGTACCCCTGCTACAGCTTACGTATGACTTAAACAGAAATACCTGTTTAAATCAGGGACTCTGTGTCTCCAGGGTTCCCTGCACAGATACACGTTTACACAGCACATCCTTAGGAACTCCAGTATTTCTTGGATGTTTCAGAAACACTGGGTGCATACCACGCAGCACACAGTTGTTCTTTGTGCAGTAAATCTAACGTCTGGGCACGTGCCAGACTCACACACAGTAATGCAAGCAAGGGGAAGCACCAGGCATGTTCTGCAGCCCATCCCCTGAACCACCATGTCACCCCTCACCATCACTGCCGTACCAGGAACTGCCCCCCACCATTTGTCCACCCGCTTTCTGCCCACACCACAAGCAACAACAGCCAGCAGTGGCCTGAACAGCACCCAAGGCCCCATTCACACCCCCTGCCCCACCAACCACCCTGCTCACAGCCACGTCCCTGGTTGCTTCCCAAGTGCCGTTTAAACCAGTAAATGGAAGTCAACAAGCACAGGAAACTGCTGCTTCTGTGCAAGGCTGCTCCTGATCCCCTCTCAGGAGACTGTAACAGCTTCCCCTCCCAATGCCCCCCAGCACTGGGCACTTGGCTAACGAACACCCTTACTGAAGCCGGGCGCAGGCACGTGCCCTTCGCCCACGTCAGGTGAGGTAATTTCTCAGTGAACAGTCTCCCCGTGAGAATGCGCCAGCGGGTCTGGTCCGCGCACGCTGAGCGGTACTACTCATGTTGCGGGTAGCAGTCTCTTCATTCGGGAAGTGTATTACTATCCAGCATTCTTAGACCAGAGACTGGGATGCTGCAAGTGCCAGCACACATACCTCATTTTAACCGTAGGGTTAGTAACACTCATGTCACTGGAACTTCTCGGGTAGTTCAGACTATTTTTAGCAGGTTGTAGGACTTCAGCGCAAGAGAACAACTGTTGGTACATACCAGATTAAATGCTCCAACTCCAAGTTTTACACCTCCCTCAAAATGAAGATGGTTCTCTCCTTTGACATAATGCGGAGACTGTATGAGGCTGTCCAGCTCCCTGAAAATGCACCAAGTTTTGTTACACTGTCAGCCAATAAAACCCGTTTACCTTGAACTACACAGTAGTTCAAAAAAAGTCAATTTGTCCTCTCACCCAGATGAACACGACCTTCAACATTCTGTTGGATTTATCAACAAATCATGTCTGTCACATTACTATCAATTAAAAAATCTGCAGTCCTGGAGATGAATTCCTGTCAAACTGACATAGTCAATTTGCAACCACATATTTACCTGAAAGTGTTTCAAGAATGGCTGTTGGGAGCGACACCAACTTCTACTACTGCAAAATGAGATGATGGGGCAGCGCAGGAGAGTTAAATTTAGATTAGCAAATTTGATTTGATTTTCATTAATCCCTGGATCAGGTATTTCCTTTTGGTGCACATTCATTTAAAATAACATTTTGGTTTATATCTAGGAAAAGACAATTGTATGAAATATTTTTAAATGGGGAGGTATGTAGGAAATAATTTTTCACTTGTTTTCCTGACTTGCATAGATCTCAACTTTGTAGTGTGCCTTTATCTCCCTGCGTAATCCAGCTGGATTTGAACTTGTTTTGCCTCCAAGCTTTGTACAGCTCTGTGTTTCTCACACTATTGTTCCAGTTTATTTCATTAATCACTAGGAGAAGGAAACCACTCTTTGAATGGCAGCCCCATATTTGCATTCAAGGCTGTCATGTTTTTACGGGCTGGACATTGCCAGCAGACACAGGACTACTGATTGTAACTGCGGTCCTTACAACGGACCTACGTTTGGAGTCACCTTCAACCCACACAAACATGGACACCGTCATCTCTCTCCCTTTCAGTACACTCCTGGAGAACCTGGACTGGTTTGTGTCTGCTAGACACGTGACTTTTTGTGGCTGTTCTGAGTCCAAATTTAAAGTTCTAAAATAAAACAAAATATGATGCATATTTAGCTTTCACTTTTTAAAATTATTCATATCAGTCTGTACTGCCATGAAAGTGTCCTGATACTCCTTATTCACTGACAATAAGCAAATGTTTCATTCTGTATTATTGTTTTATTTCGTTCCATCTTTTTTACAGTGTATGGTAACCTTTCCTCCCTGAAAGAGTTTTAAAAATTGTAGCTTTGCAAGACTTACTCCTCCTGTCTTTTCAGGACTGCTGTTGTTGCAGCTTACCAAGCAGTACTGCTGACAGCAGGGAAAAAGGGAAGATGGCTTTTTATATCAGAAATTATGCTGTAAAAAACACTGATCAAAGCAAGTAAAGTTTCATTTCCATATTCCATGGTTTTCTCTGTAACCTGTTGCACCATGCTCTCACCAAAAGTACAATTATTTCTTCCCACAGTACAAAAATCGTATCGGCCAGTCTCACATACAAACTTCCCCTTTGTTAAAACACACATTTTTGTAATATGCAAGAGTGTTATAAGAGCTACTAGATTTATAAGACTGTTCTTACTTATACTAGAGTGGACCTTTATTGAGGCACAACTGAATACGCTTCCCATAGTGTACATTTGGATGCAATCTTTAGAATTTACAACTGCACTTCAAAGCCTTGTGCACATGTTGGAAGTAGCTCTCCATAACTTCCCGGATGAAAAGAAACCCACTTAAGCAGATCTTTTTGGCTTACAAAGTAATGGGCGTATTGTGAGTTCAGATAAGCAACCTTGCTCATAATTTTCGATAGCATGCACCTTCTTTTTAGAGAGGAACAACTGGCATACCTAACCAGATTAGAAGTCCTGATAACCAAATATTTCACTCAGGTGGTGGCATATGCTTGGACAAGCATCATCTAGGAATTGACTGTTCAGGCACTTCATGATGCAGAGAGACTGCATCTGTTGTACTACACTAATTAGCTCCTATGAACCTGTTTCCTGTAAATTTGCTTAATCTTTGTTTGAAGCCATATATACTTTCAATTGAAAGCTCTTCAGTTTATTGCCTCTTAATTTCGTTTTAGTTTCATGCACTCGTTATGGAATCACTTGTGCTTCAGCTACTGGTTTTGAATGTTCTAAAAAGCCACAGTTAGAACTAAACAGAAATGCCATTTAATATGCCTAATGACTGCGAGAACTCCAAATTGTGCTACGCAGACACAGTGATCACTACATCGTTTAGAACAGTTATTGCTGGACATAATTTCAAGGGTAGAGTACTTGAAGCCGGCAAAATTTGGGAGTCAACAGGGTTAGTGTCCACTGTCTTTACAATCCAAATCAACCATAGTATCAATGTCCTTTGCTATGCAAAGGAGGAATTTGTATGGGCTTAGGAAGGATATAGACATGAAGCCCATAATAAAGGCTGAAATAAATACAACAGTAATTAATTTATGAATTGGACAATTTGACCAGCAGCACTTTTTACTGAAAGAATACGCTTAATCACATCATCACTCCAACTTACCTGTATGTTTGGTAACTGTTTCGAACTTTGATGCCTCCTTTTATGAAGCTAACCATATTCTCATCCTGTTAGAAAGGAAACACATGAGCAATATGAATTTATGAGCATTAAAAAAGGCTTCTGTCTTTCTGAGATGAACTCATGCCTTGAACGTAACCATCATGACACAGACAATACAAGTCTCTGAGAAACAACACATGGATTTAGGATTTCCTTTTTATATTAACATATTTTTATTGTGTTCAGACATGCACCCTTCATTTTGATGCCTTCTGTGATTAGTTTAACCTCTCTGACCTTTGGTCCATCTGAATTTGCATTAATGAACACAGGGACTAAGCTAATGAATGACACCTAAGGTACATGCGTTTGTGACTCCCTCAAAAAACAGCGCTCTCGCTTGTCCTTCAGCACAATTAAGATCTGAACATTTCCTGGCTCAGCACCAAAACCTGCTTGTCCTCAGGAGCCTACAGAATAGTTTCACATCCTAACAAGGAAGCAGGATGAGTTATGCAGGATATGCTCCTTCTGGTCTGAATATTCAAGTAGCTACGAGATCCACAGTAGTATGGTAACATGTTACTTTACAAGCTATAACCAACTGAAAACTCACAGCAAAGTGTATCTTGGGGACCCTTAGTTTACAGTTGCACCCCAAAGAGACAGCCTCTTTAGTCTTGCAACTTTCTGGGGGCAGTTTCTTCTCTCACTCATCCTATACAACCTGTCATGCTGGTTTGTTCTGATATCTGCTATTACTTTGGGATAGGAAAACTACATGTGTTTCAGCAGATGATTTTTCAGTGATGGTATTTTAAGAGGCTGTATGAAGCATTGTGGAGAAAATAGCATAGATTAGATGAACATTTGGTTGTTTTACGGTTATTGTTAAGGAAACAGGGCCCAATTGGGCTCATCGATACGTGAAAGAGACAGAACCTGCCTCCAAGAGCTTTCCATCCTCCTGTAAGTCAGGAAGATAACAATCCAATCAAAGTTACAGCCCAGCTACTTTCAGACTTACTTTCTATGAACTAGTGTAGGAAGCCTAATGGCCTGAAATGAAGGGCAGGGGTTTACTCCTGCAGCCTGCAACCTCACCACTATCCTGTGTCCTTGACAGTCACCCTTAAGCACCATTATCAAGATGGATAATTGGGGACAGAAACTATGTACCATAAATGTGATATATCCCCAGAGACTTGAATCTAATCACGTGCAAACAGAATAAAAACAGGGTCAGATTTTTCTGTGGTTATGTGTCCTGTAGAAAAAGACAGGTTTTAAATGGCAACAGGGGGGCAGGGAGTATAGCATGCCTAACCATATGTAAAGGCTCAGTTACATTTCCTTTGAATGGAAAGAGGAAAGAAGATGATTTTTAAATAAATATTTACATTCAGAATACTCATGATACCAACAACAAAGATAACCAATCTGAGAATAGTCCAGTCCCTGAAAAATCCTGAGACTAATTTTTTATGTGTTTTCAGCTGGATTTGGTCATTTATATTAAGCATTAAAACTAAGCCACTTCAATAGCTGTTGGAACCACGTGCCATTGTTCAATTTTTAAAACCAGTTCATGTGTTCATGAAAAATTAAACACAGAATAGAAGAGGAAGCAAATGAATAGGCATTCTTTATGTCGAAGAGGACAAGAAGTTATTTTGTTACTCCTAAATCTCTCACGTATCTATAAACATTTTTAAAAACAGATACCTGCAAAAACAGTGCTTAAACCGAAGAGATACTGCATGAAACACTCCTTTCTTACAGGCACAATGGAGATGTTCTGAAAAGCCTTGCTTCCATAGCTTCAGAGATTACTCAAACTGTCTCCAGTGCTAGAGACTAGTCATCCTAAAGCAGCAGGCATATGGAAACAGGTAGCTACACTTCGGCCATTTAAAAATCCAGCATCTCCACAGAAAGTCACCACCAACAGCATTCTATCAACCTTCAGAGGAATCTACTCTGACTACTGGTTTTGCTAAGAAACAATGGTTTCTAGCAGAAGGGCATGGCGGATCGCTGGAAAAGGTTACATGGTTCATAAACTGTTATAAGCAACATAAATCAGAGCCCATCTGGCAACTCCCAAACGCTGTAAAATCACCACCTGCATTTCATTCTCTATCAGCATCTTTGAGCCAAGAAGCAGAAGCCCTTTGTGAATGTGACTTTTATTATCCCCTCTGCATCGATGAAGTGGCCCACTGTCATAGCAAGTACAGCCAAATCAAGGAGAAAAATCAGTTATTCCAACTATGATTAACAATTTAAATTGCAAGCTGGGGCCCAAGTAAGTAGTGCTAATGTGGATCCATCAAACAAATCAAGCTTCATTAGTACAGACAGATAAAATTCAAAGAAGCGGGAGAGCTCCCCTTCTTTTAAAGGCAGGCAGCACAGTTTAGCAAAAAGCATGTGTGCAGCCCAACAGCTATGCAGACCATAATAGCTGTCTGAGAACAAAAAAGTGAGAAAGCAGTCTTGGAAAAACAAACACCAGCCTGACTGAAACAGAAACCTTGCTTGCACTGCAGCACAGCACAGCTTCATCACTTTTTTGGTTTTGTCTAGTGGGGATTTTTTTGTCTGGCTGGTTGGGGTTTTTTGGTCTGATATCCCAGCACACAGTATTTCAAAAATTGGTGCTTACTGTGGTTACATTTCACACATCCAAAAGGGACTGGAGAAGGGCTTCATAGGGGACACAGTGCTACGTGTATCACGATAAGCAATTTTAGATAATCATGAGGGATAACAAAACATTCTACTATCTCATCAGCAGATAGTCCAGATAAAATCCAGATTTAATCCAGATGAACGAGTTTTCCACCACTAGGTCAAACTAGGGTCTTGTACCATTTCATTAATTTTAAGAAAAGAAACCTGTACGGCGCGTACTTTTCCCCCCCCCAAAGAGCCACGCAGGAACCCATACCTGGAGGAACGTGAGCGCTGCTCTCTGAAGTAAACATTCAGCATAGCAAATTTCTGCATGGATTTCCTCTAGTGTCACAGGGAGAGGGGAAGAAAACAAAACAATTAGACCAAAAGTAAATAAAAAATGCATATCCCATTAATATAGGAGTAAGATCTCAAAGCTCAAATTGAGAAAAATATTTTCCAAATTTGCTGTAGTGTTTCAGTTCTAGACTACTCCGAACTGAAATGACACACAGGTCCAGAAACGTTGCACAAATTTCTCTGGTGCTTTCCAGGAATACCTGGATCTAGAACCTTTCTAGGAATTTCAATACTTCTTTCTAGGTATTTCTTTATCCAGCCATTTTTGGAAATGTGGAGTCAGCAATGAACAAAACAAGTGATTTTGGATCTGGTGACACAGCAGTTGCCAAAATGGTTGGACCGGATGGTCTTAAAAGGTCTTTTCCGACCTAAAGGTCCTGACAGAGTGATCCGGCAAATGCTGAATCAGCAACTTTGTCAGTGAGCTCACAGTCTGCAAAAACATTGTTGGGTGAACAATTCTACACAATTCAAATTGCAGGAAAAACCCCAAGAGGAAGACATTATGCATGTAGAGATGTTACCTTCAGTGAAGTGTTCAAGGCTTTGTCTATGCACAAGGTTGTTGATAGAATCAGCCACTGTAGATTTCTTCCTAAATCTGCAGAAAAGTCAGTTTGGTCAATCTAAGCATGAAGCATCAACAACAGAGAACAGTGTCTTTCAGCTGGCCACCTGTACAGCCCTAGCTCTCCACAACCCTCTCTCATCTTACCACATACACAAACTTCAGAATAATCCATGAATTATTACAGAATTTAATTCATGGAGTCCTTCTGGGACTTTACCCTTCATGTGCGGAACGCTGTCTTGATGAAAGAAGGGGATTTGATTTATTCTCTCTGTGCTACAGCTAGCTACAGTACAACCATCACCAAATGGGAAGATCCTGCAGTATCTGGTAAATAACTTCCAGTCACTGCAGAACCAGGGCTACAGACAGGACAAAAATCTAACTGACAAGGAAAATCAGACATTGCAGTAAACTGAAGTTTTCAAGACCAAGCTGCTGAAAACCCTAAGTTATGTGGTCTAACCTCAAAACTGACGCTTCTTTGAGCAGGAGGCTGGACTAGATGACCTCCTGAGGTCCCTTCTAAACCCTGTTTTTCTATGCTTTCTGTGAAATTATGTGTCCTTTTTTAACCTGTATGTCTTTCAAAACCCTCCCATGAAGGCACTGTCGACCGAATCGCTCCACGCTTACTTTTGACAGGTGGCTTGAGCTTCCTTCATTGTGTTTCCTGCATTCAGTATGTCCTGAGGATCAAATGTCATCATAGCCTGCATTTCCAGAATGGTGGCGTAAGTCAGTGCGTGATACATACTGTCTTTAGTTCTGCAAGAAAGCACAAGTCGCAAATCACAGCTGATTTGATTATATTACTACTTCAAAAAACAAATACAAACCCAGTATCAGAAACTCATCAGTCTGAGAGGAACTAAGTATAAACAAACTAGAAATCAACAACAAAGGATATGCAAAATAACCAAGAAGCACTAATACACTGAGATTTGTACAGGAAATCACGTCTACAGCTCCAGATCAATAACTGTGCTAAGATGTTCCAAGTGTGAGCCAAGGGTAGGTATTTAACACACAGAACAAAGCACAGGAACGAACCACACGTCTGTCCATCCAGGGACCATGGAATCGTGGGGGGGTTTAATGGAGTATCTAATGAATACTACAACACGCGACACAAATCCAGATATTCTTCTTCTATTTTTGGGACAGTTGCTCAGGACAGACTGAAGGAGAGAAGTAACACAATCGTATAACCTTGGCCACATTAGAACCTTCTTCAAACAGATTTTCCCCCCAGAAGTGCTCCAGTCTCCACCAAACATTACAGCTTTCTCCTCCTCTCCCTTTCCGCCAGCCTTCCACCACAATTTGTTCAACTTCAGTATTCTTCTGTGGGATTTCAGGTCATGCCTCTTGCAAAAAGCCAAAAACTCTGGCATTAGTGCAAGAAAAACAATTAACTCCTACCTGCAGCCACTGCCAGCATCTTTCCTCTGGCAGGAAGAAGGGTTTGTATTTACTGCACACACGTACAGCGTTCAGCCAGTGCCAATGTACCATATAACCCTCTGCAGATGCACCAAAGTATCTCCAGGCCTAGAGGTCCAATAAAGATGACTTGGGAATTACGCTGAAGGGCAAACTCACATGAATCCCTGCCGCAGAAACTCTCGGTAGACCTTGTTAATCCACCCCTGACAAACAGCGTAACTTGGACAAATACTGCTAAAGAGCCACATTTCCCATTTCAATTGTTCACATTTCTAGAATGGTTCTCTGTGGCAGGGAATAGTTAAAAATACTTGCAGTCAAACAAGGATATCCTTTCAACGAGATCTCCACTCTCAGTGTACCTGTTCTCAGTATGTGCAGTTCAGGTGTGTTTCTTTTTCTGTCGAGGAGCCAGTGGTGTGCCAGCAACGTGCCCTTGCCACAAGTAGGGCTAATGGCATCCTGGGCTGCATCAGGAGCATTGCTGCCAGCAGGTCGAGGGAGGTGACCCTTCCCCTCTGTCCAGCACTGGTGAGGCCACACCAGGAGTGCCGGGTCCAGCTCTCAGCTCCCCAGTACTCAGACACACTCAAAGTCTAATGAAGAGGGCTAAGGATGATGAAGGGACTGGAACATCTCTGCTATGAGCTGGGACTGTTCGCCTGGAGAATTTCTACAATGTCTATGAATACCTCAAGGGAGGGTGCAAAGAGGATGGAGGCAGGCTCTTCTCATGAGTGTCTAACAGCAGGACCAGAGGCAATGGGCACAAACAAACATCAGGAAACACCTTTTCACTATCAGGGTGACGGAGCATTGGCACAGGTTGTCCCGAGAGCCTGTATCCTTGGAGATACTCAAAAGCCATCTGGACATGGTCCTGGGCAACTATGTCTAGGTGGTCCTGCTTGAGCAGGTGACCTCCAGAGGCCCCTCTGAACCTCAACCACTCTGATTCAGTGGTTTTGTTTTAAGGGGAAAAAAAACCCCAAACTTCAAAGACACCTCAATCCATTTGATTTCTCCCCTGGAAATACACTTGCCTCCACAGGTTTTTATACCTGCATCGAATTGAAAGATAATTTTAAGGCTAACAAGACAATCCTACATTAATCAATGATCTAATAACTCACTGTGGTGACCTGGATCCCTTTAAGTTTCCTAACAATTCATACATTATTATGCATGAATTCTTTTGCCTGATGGAGTAAAACACCCACTCCTAAGTATCCTCAGGAGTCCATTACATTTAGTTAGTGTTTTCCAGAGCCAAACAATAACCTTGTCTACAAGTAATCCCCTCCCATTGACATTATGCAACAAAATCATCAGAGGAAAATTCAAGTGATGACACAATCCTGCCTTCGTATATATAGTTTTTGAGATGTAGGGACTAAAATAATACCTAGTGCTGGCACAGACAGCATGACACAGGTATCAGGAGCTTTATTTGCTAACCTTCTTAATGACAATGAAGAGCTACCTTTTCCAATACACACAGCACAAAGCAGGCAGAAATCTGCAGTGTACATCTTTAAACCACACTGCAGTCTATGTTTTGGGGCTGCCTTTAATTCCCAGTTGCCCTCACCATGTCCACAGGTTACCTAACAACCTGCTCTAACCAACTCTAAACTGATCTACCATAAATGCCATTTTGGGAAATCACCTACTGCTGTAAGTACTATACACCCCAGACTATGTTAACGTCCACCTCACCTCCAGCGTGTGTAAGGAGAACAGACAGGTAATGGAGGGATTAGTTTAAAATCCAGTGGAGACAGGACAGCTCTGTCTTGGCCTCCTGCATCACAATTCTTTCAATAGACTAACAAAGCAGGGTAGAAAAACAATGAACATAACTATAAAATGCAGCCTGATTAAGTGTTCCTGTTCATTTGATTACTCATCAGCCTCAGAGAAAAACACTTCATGTCGTATTTATTAAAAAAAAAACCCTTCCAAAGGTTCAGATCCAATGCATGGGGAAGGTACTAAAATAGTCCCCTTCCAAAATTTTAGAAATCTGCTTTCAAAATCAAAGCAGATACATGTTAAATTCACTGCACTAAAAGGAAAATTTATACTTTTCACATATACATGGTAAAGAGGGACTTCCCTCCCCAGTAATTTGCTTCTGATACTACATCAGTCCTGCCCTAATCAATGATATGATCTACTTTGCTTTTAATATTTTAAAGAAGATGATAATTAATGTTTATCATTAGTCCACTGATATTTATCAACACTAAAATTTACTCTCCTTTTTTCAGGGACTGGGAGGCGGGTAGAAATGCAACCAAATTTAACAGTTTCCCGTGCTATTTATACGAACCACACAATTAAAGTTGCCAGTTACATCCTGGCATATTGCCAGGAGTTTTAAGGCCTGCATTTTATATGGATGGATACAGAATGAAATCTGATAGCTCTTTATTTTTCCTTCTCCTTTTGATTCCTCAGCAGCACTTTCCCCAGAACACGGTTGGATTTTACAAGCCTTTATAACATAAATACAACCAATATTCTGATTAATGACTTATCCCAGTAGTTGGTATCACGTGGCTGAATAAGGGGATTGCAAGCAATATCTTCAGGCACTTACGGAGTTAGGCCATGTGTCTGTTCTCCAACTACGGGGCTATCATTATCATCTTGTACCACTGCCCCTTCTTGAGAGCTGATGGAGAGCACTTATTCCTGCCTGAAAGCAAGTACCTAAGTGAGGATGGTGGCAGCTCCCCCTTCCAGCAGAAGTATGAAAATCCAAAAGCTTAATTAACCCAGGGGCTAGTATCTTTTGTGAAAACCACAGCGCACAAAATATTTTACTGGATCCTTTGACAGCAATCCAGCAGGCAGGACATGCATTCCCGGGTTACAGAAAGCCCAGGTTCAAGTCCATGCCCTGACTTAGTACCAAGATGATTGTAACAAGTGAAATAAATCGAGCAGGATGGAATGAGAAAGACCGTCCATGGATCCGCCAACAGTCCATTCATCCAGGTGTACCCAGGAGTGAGAGAGGCCCAAACCACAACTGCATCAAGAGAATGTGGTCACACAGCACCTCAAGTCCTTCCTCATCTTTGATCAGAAGTTCTACCCAAACCCCAAACCACTCACTAGACATACTGCATGGGCTTCCATAGACAGTCTCTGTTCTGATGACTCGACATTTTCCAATAAAAACCTGTTTCCTATGAAAACTCCCCACTAGCATGGAGTTTACAACTAGAAAAGACCATTCTTATCAACCACCAGCAACGTTCCCCAGTTACCCCAAACCGACAGAATGGTCTAAGCCCGGTCTAAGCCAAAAAGCTTCGGTTCAACAAGAGTACCCCTGTGCCTTTCTGATCTAGGCCATTCTCCAAATTCATAATCTAGTAAGTTCTTTCTGCTAGCAGGTGAAACCAACAACTAAGTCAGGTTTTGGCAGCAATGGGTTTATTTAAGACTATGAAAGTTGTGTTCTTCCAAACTCCAGGTATAAAAAGATTAAAAAAAACTAGAAATAATGGCTTTCTTCATGTTCTTGGCATTCTTCAAAATAAACAGCTAACTCGAGCTTTCTGCAGCTGTACACCACCTTTATCCAGCCTCTGTCTAGAGCTTCGCTCTACCTCTACGTGCTTCCCCTTATACTCCCACCACTTTCAGGTTGACAATCACACCTTTGTTAGATCAGTTCCCAGAGAAAGTTCCTCCACCCCCCTGAACAACTTCATTTCACATCGTGATTGACAGCCATTACAAAAGGCTTCCACTCCCCAGTAACCTCTTCAAACTTTTAAAGATCAGACTGCACAAGATAACATGTAATACTGTAAACTGGGTTTACAGCAAAAATTGCAGTGATAGTAAACAGGTACCACAGAACTTCACTATTCCAGTAAGAGTTTCACAAGTAACTAGCAGAGCAGTAACACAATCTCTTCACACCTACGTGCAATACTCCCGCATCGAAGGGCTGAACTTACCTTTCAAACATGATCATTCTAGAATTAACATTCCACCAAACAAGACCAAGTGCTTTGTGCAGACTATTTTCAGAATGAAGCAACCTGGCTGGGATGAATCTTTCTCATATTGTTCTTACCATCCTGCCAGCAGCAACACAGATATGTTGCAGCTCATCCAATGATCCAGATTACTCTGTGTCATAAATTTATCTTTATCTTTTACCATTCTCCTGAGTGATCTGACACTAGCAAATTATCAGGTGACTATTTCATGCTTTCCTTCAGGATAATTATTAAAATAGTAAACATTTGTCTTGGGGAAGGGAAAGGGACATATCATCAGATTCAACTCTAATTTATGTTTATCTGTTTGCAATTACATGAGGACTAAAATCTAGTCAGCTTTTAATCAAATTACTGTATGTATCTCAGTTTGAGGAAGAAAATGAGATTTTTTTCCCCACTCCAGTGACTAGGCAGTTTCAGTGTTACTCATTGTCACAGTTAATAGGTTACACATGAAAACCACTGCTGTGTTTGGTGACTGAATTTAAGGAATTTCTTAAGAGTTCTTCAACTTAGTGAGAACACAGCTTATAAAAGATTCATTTAATTAAACTTACTGCAGAAACCACAAGCTAATTGGAGCCCACCACTGTAAAATTGTTGTTAGTGATAATATAGAAAACTGACTCTAAAACCTAAAAATGTAGTTGAGGAAACAAGAAAAGTTATGTAACACAAAGCATAAATGCCAGGTGAATTTTTTTTATGAAACGAGATCTCTTCTTTATGATGGATTTGCTTTCCTGACAGGAAAAAAAGAGCTTTACCTCAACACAAGTCTAGGCACCATCCTCAGATATTCATTTTTAAGCTGCTAGGAAAGATCTTCCCATTTTAACTCTCATACATTGCCAAATCTGCTCTCAGTTACACATGGTACCAATCAGTTGAAAACACACTTATTTTGGAAGCCAAATGTGAGTAATTTAGTGAATCTGCAATAATGTAATGCAGAGCAGACTATGTCCTACAACATAAGTGGTAAAGCTGCAAAATCTATGATATGAAATTCTTTACAAGCATGTAAAAACTGGAAAGTATTTCTTTAAACAAAGATAGTATGTTTATGGACTGTGAAAACCAATTTCAAATCTCAGCACGCTAAATGGCAACAGTGAGAAACTGATGACTCCTAAAGAAAATACTCAGTATTACCATATGTGCCCACTCTACAGCTCTTGTCATTCCCTGAAGAGATGGAGCGTGTCCATAATGGATATCATCTGTGGGGAAATTCAGCATCCTGTTTCTGCATTACACTCGCAAAGATCGTAACTGTGTATTTCCCCCACTGCCAAAGGGCAACAGGAGTAAGGGCCCCTTCATAACAACAGGCTAACATGAAAAATCAATCTCAAAATGGTTTTGTGATGTGGAATACAGTCAGCTACAAAACCAGAGTATCAGCTCATTAAATATGTTCTGCAGGGCCCAACAAAAGCTTAATGAAAACCAGATGCAATAGAAGAAAAGTGGTTTTACAGAAAAATAAACCCCACAGCCTCACTAGCTTTTCCAGTGTTTTGGAAACCCCCCTCCAATAAAGCATCTCCCAGTTTTATGCTAAGCACTGAGTAAGCATTTCCAGATGGGCACAAGGGCTTTACTGTCAGTATTTAATGAAAACACAGTTATTCTTCCTACTGTTTTTATGATATCTTCTGATGATATATAAACACAAAACAACACTTTTGTGACTGAAACCAGTATTATTAATACATCTGAGCCTACAATTTATCAGGAATGTCCTCCACAGAGTGCACTTACATGCTTAAGCTACAGATTCTGCCACCAAAGACCGAGGCTGATACCTCAGCAAAGCAGGTAAGTAGTGTTATTACTGTTGCATATCAAACACACACCACTGCTGCGTGACCTATGAATTTTACTTGCTTCATATTCCAGAGGACCGAAAGAAAGGTACAATGTGATTTGCTGATGGCTCAAAAATAAATGGAGCAAACTGGGGGAAAAAAATGTGAATTAACCACAGACTTCAACGAGCCAAGCACAGGTAACTTCAGGACAGGGTAAGAAAAATCACAGACACTGTTAAGACACAACTTTATGAGCTCACTGCTTGCAGCTGGGCCACTCGCTACACCCTGGGCCGCAATGTATTTAGCAAACAGAGTGCATGACCACAACACTGAATTGCAAAATAAGCTGTGAGAAAGTTTCTGCAAGTGGTTATTTAAAACAGAACAAAACAAATATAAAAAAGAACTCAAACCAAAAGTAACACGTCCCAAACCTGGCAATTCATGGTCAGTTACTCATTTAGACACAGACCTATAAATTCTCAAATTCTCACAGTATGCTGAAAAATATGGGAAAGGAAGAAAAAAGAAAAAGTGACAGAAGGTGTTTTTTGTTCTTCCGGGGGCAAGAATCCCACATTCTTCTTGGGACAACAATTCAGTACTTTTTACATTTACTTTTGATCAATCTTGTTACTGACTCACCCAAGTGTAAAGCACTTATTCTGTCTTCCCAAAACTTAACACATTAACTTACCCCTTTTGAACCAAAACCATGCAGTCTTACCAACTCTTGACAGAGAACTAGCTGTCTAGTCACTTCTCCTGAGAGGTGGTGAAGAAAATAAAAAGAAGAAACCTAGTAAAAGTAATCAACTTACTTTGCTTGTAAAGAAGCCAAAGCATCCGAGAACTTGTTGTTAAGAAATAAATCCAGAGCTGCCATACACTCTTGCAACGCCACGTTGAGGTCTGATCCAGGTGACCTGCCAGAGGAAGAGAGAATAAACTCAGCACATCTGTTCTCCTTCTACTGATGCATTACTGCTACATTTGAACCCTTCATCTTCAATTCTAGCCTTATTCCCATGTATAATCTGCTACTCCATTTCTAGTGATTGCAAAAACATGAAAGTGTCTTCCATTATGCTTGTGGTTTTATTTATTTTTTTTTAACGCTCTTACTCTGTGACATGTGGAAAGCAATTCAAGTTTTGTACTTCCTGAAAATGAGGTAAACTGCCATGTGGAAGTGTGGCAATTTGATGAGCTCAGGGATCAGGAACTGGGTGACAACACACATCTGACTGTGTGTGAGGCTGACAGAGATTACAGGCTAGTGACATTATGATCATTCTGTCACTTTTAAGGACAAGACACTGCCAAACTGCATGGAATTATTATATTGACCGCTGACAGAACATCTGCCTTAGCTCAGCTCCTGTTCAGCACGGTTCCTGACCAGTAGACCACTACACACTTGAAGGTGGGTTAAAATCTCACGTTGTGCATGCTGCTGAGAACAACAATGACCCCAACAAGTGCTACTGCACTCAAAGAACCTGCTGCTCCATCTCAAAGTCAGAGGATTATCTCTGTGGCCTACCCTGGCTGTACTTTCCTCCTTTACAACATTCAGATGTCAGCCTGACCTGTCACAAGGGTTCTCAGCTGGTCTTGGGGTTACTGGCAACAGGATAATACAGACCAGCTGAATAGGTTTGGCCCAAGTTCATCACCACCAGAACTGCTGGACAGAAAGATCCACAGAAAAAACAATACAGCCTTGCACTAACAAAGTTAAGGTAACCTGGCCAATGTTAGGACAGTTGAAACATCTGCATCCCATGATCAAAGAGCTGTACTGCACCAGTATGTTCTACACAAGTCTGTACAAAAAAAGCTTCCCCAACAAAATACAAACAAATCATCATGTTCCTGACTCCGAGAGCTCTAACTGATGTGATCTGTCTTGTGACTTAGAAACTAGGTTAGTTCCTTAAAAAACGGCATAACACATAGCCTGCTGAAAGGAAATACAGACAGCAAAGTCCTGCTATCATCTCAAGGAAAAGACAAGAGCAGGGAACAAACAGCATCAGTAATAACCACTGACTGCAGCACTGGTTTGTTTGGTTTGGGTTTTTTTTTTTTTTTTTAAGAATAATGACTGAAAAGAAAAAAAAAGATCATAATTATATGTATGAAAAACAGGATTACAAATTTGAGAGAAACAAGATATAGCACTGTTCATAGTGGCTGCTCTCATTACACTTCAGATACACTGCAAATCGTTCTGCACCCAAGAGACCCTCCAAGTGCTTTGCAAACATTGATTAACTAAGTCCTGGCATCCGTCTCATACAATATGCAGTATCATGTCTGCCTAACTATCCTGAGTCTTACTTACTGTAATAATTAAAACTTCGCCAATTACCATTTACATGTATTACAATTCTTACCTGCCTTTTTTAAACCTGTGTCCCTGAGCCAAACAGCAGATTTAACACTAGATAAAACATATTCTCATCTGTTTTAAAACACTTAGACTAGTAACATTTTACCTGGGGTTTTTGTTTCTTTCTTTCTTGCCTGGCAGGAGAATCACCCCACTCAATACAAATAAACCTTTTCAAAATACTCCTTTGAAACAGAAAGATGACAAAGAAAAAAACACTGTCGAAGTTCAAAGCACAAGTAAGATACATTAATCTTTTCTGCAATAAGAATTATTAACACAGTGCCACCCCCAACAACAGCAACAGATACAAGTTGCACACTTCCTCATGCTCCAAGGAAACCTGCCATTTGATGTAGTTCCCAAGTAAAGGGCTTAAGACCTGAACACAATATACACCTTACATAAAGGCTAGGAATCATCATTTGTTGCTGTTAGCAAGAGGGAAGAAACACTTCCAGCTGGAGTGCTGAGCATCTTAGCAAACTGATTAGTCATGCTTCAGTGGGCTGCAGATTCTCCCTGCTTTCAACAGCAAGATCGGAACTGCCTCTAAGCCAAACGGAAAACGCTGCCCACTGCTCCTTACCTTTCTGCTACATCTCTCGTGGTTTCTGACATCATCATTTGCGTGCCCACCCAGCAGCTGGGCACAGACATCCAGCAGCAGCACGCGGTGCTACTGAACCATCTCCGAGCGACAGGCGCAGCGTGGGGCAGTGTCTGCCTCCCCGCGATACCATACGCTCCCACTGGGCATTACGGATGATATGCTGAGTTAAGAGCATCGCTGGTTCACCTACAACATGCTACAAGTGAGTGAAGTGGAAGCCGGCCCATGACACGTGAAGTTCCTATGTCGCTGGGTACTTAAGTACTAACGTAGGAGATGCTGGCAGCTGCCACTGTATCTTTGAGCTGCAGACCTGACTGAAATTAGTGGCAGCATCAGCTCTCTTTCATTCAGCACAAACTAGGCAGAAGTCAAACATCCCTGTAATTACAGATCTGAAACAACAGAAATTACTGCGTGTGGCAGTGGAGCACATTGGAAACCTGCAAACCAGAAGGCAGGGTCAAACAAGGTCAGCTGACGTGCAGAAGAGGCAGGGTCAAACAAGGTCAGCTGATGTCCCAGAATTGAGGCATTAATCGCTGCGAATGTGAGAAGCAGACAGGCAAAAGAGGCGAGAAAGTACTTCTCCCAGCAAGGATTCTCTGCAAAACAGGCTTCAGTCCACCACCAAACTACTGCCTATTGCTGGTTCCTGTAAATCTGGGGGGGTTGCGAGACTTTACACATTCTTTGTAAAAATCTCTCTTTAATCCCATGCACGATGATATGGGTTGGCATAAACAATTTAATCAGTGGAGTGAGCTCATTTGGCTGATTTTGCCCAAAACAGTGTATGCTCCCAAACCGCTGTGCTGGTACATTAGCAGTACTGGTCCTGCATGAGAGAAGGGCAGCTACCAGCAACAAGAACAGCTCTCTCTCTCATTACGACAGCTGGGCTTTGCAAGTTCATCAGCTATGATTTAATTATCTAACTTAGTTTTTCCAAGTGCATGCAATATTAAAAATTGTAAATTTCTTTGATCCTGTATCTAGATTTTTTGTTAGATTACACAAACCTGTACCAATACTGCTGAAGGAAGACCCAAAAATAACAAACAAGCGAAGGATAATTTCAGGAAGCTACTCTGAAGGCATTAACATACCTGATTAAATCTCTTGCTGTTTTTACGACATCCTGTACAGGAAAAGCCTGTCCTCCATTTGGTATAAAAATTATTGCAATAGACCCACGGGCTGCCCCGTTAATGACTCCATTACATGTTCGTTACAGCACCATGTCCCTGGCCACAGCAGGAGATAAGAGACATTACCTTTCCCTCCAGCCCCCAGCTGGGAATAGCTTCTGCTTACAACTTAAAATTAACTGGTGTGCTCAATGGCAGGATCATGAGCGGCTCTAAAAAGATGATTCACCCTTTTTACTAGCTGTTTATACAGTTTCTAAGTGATACTGTATTTCTCCAAACGGTCTTTAAAGTTCTGTATGAAGGCTCTGGCTGTTTCTGCCAAGTTCTTCGAGAAGAGTTGGCAGGTTTTTATTTGAGTATCACTTCTCTGGTAACAATTACATGCTCAGACAACCTTCAGCATGCAACCTGTCTTCCCTCCTATGTGGCAATGTTTTAACTAAAGAAAACAAAAAAAATTAAGATGTGAAGTATTTCCAAATTTAGGCCATTTCCCCCATGGTTTTAGAAGCTTCTTTCCTTTTTTTTGCTTTTTGGTGGTAGGTCTGGCAAAGATAGTCATATGGTTCTCATGGTGGTTTTATTATTTATGAAATCATCATTCTCTGCCCAGGGGACCACAACTGGGGGTGCTTCACAAACCATAATTACGGTGTATCTTCTGACTTAAGGGAACACCTGATCTCCTTACTCCACTGCATCCCCATTGGCTCTTGCACTGCAATTACTCGGGACATCCTAGGCAATGAATGCCCTTTTTACTTAAACATCAAATCCTATTTATGCCAACAGCAACATCAAACAAAGTAAATACGCAGAATCAAGCAAAATTAAATCTCTGACTATTAATGAAAAGTAAAGCACATTCAAAAGTAAAGAATCACAATGTTTTCCATGGTCAAAAGCGGGGGGAGGAGACTTTTTTGAGCATGGGACTTTGCATATTTCTGCATAAAATTTACTTTGCTGTGTGCATGATATTGACTGTTTTCTTACCCTAAGTTTGTAGCACATACGCTTTATGATTTGCCATTGGGGGTTCTATGAATTTCAAGAATAAAAGGGATCTCGAACCTTGTATTCTGCAAAATGCTGAACTATTGATTCATTTTACATCAGTAGTTATCAGAACTTTGCACAAAAAAAGTAAGTCTGAATTTTGTGCCTTTATAGTAATGTTTTTAATAGTAACTGAAGAGGTCTTTCAGTATTGTGAAACACTGAAAACAAGTTAAATCAGTCGTATCCTAAAATATGGATGCATTTCTCTGCCAAATCTATGCTATCTGCATAAGTCAGCTGAGGTAGCATGCATGGTTAACAGTTTGGAGGAAGAGAATAAAATACAAAGAGTCAAGCACAACTGAGCTAAGCCAGTACTTGATGAGAAACCAGCACAGAGAAGACCAAGTGCTGGTGGCTCAGCAGCTGACTCCTCTCTCCATTGTCAGGAGAATGTTGGAGCAGGGAGAAGTGGAAGTACACCGTGTTTCCCAAATGCAGACTAGCCCTAAGCAAGTGAAATGCAAGAAAAGTACATAATGGAAAGATTATATTCCCATTCTAAAGAAATTTCACAGCAAAATTTGTGTAATCATACTAGGGACCGAGCATCACCTAATCACCTCAGGGGCTTGAACCGCACCAACGCACTTGGTCTCAGTAATGACTGACACTGCTTTCACCTTCCTCAGGAACATCAACAAAGCCCTTCTAGCGGACACCAACCTGGGTTCTGGCATGACTGCCCCAACGGC